ATTGATTTTTTTTTTTTTTGGTTTTTCGAGACAGGGTTTCTCTGTGTAGCCCTGGCTGTCCTGGAACTCACTCAGAAGACCAGGCTGACCTCAAACTCAGAAACCCACCTGCCTCTGCCTCCCAAGTGCTGGGATTAAAGGCATGCGCCACCACCGCCCGGCATTTCTTTCTTTCTTTTTCTTATTTTTTTCGAGACAGGGTTTCTCTGTGTAGCCCTGGCTGTCCTGGAACTCACTCAGTAGACCAGGCTGACCTCAAACTCAGAAACCTGCCTGCCTCTGCCTCCCAAGTGCTGGGATTAAAGGCATGCGCCACCACCGCCCGACATTTCTTTCTTTCTTTTTCTTATTTTTTTCGAGACAGGGTTTCTCTGTATAGCCCTGGCTGTCCTGGAACTCACTCTGTAGACCAGGCTGGCCTCAAACTCAGAAATCCACCTGCCTCTGATATTTCCTTTTAATGTTTTTTTTCTCCCGAGGGACAGACAATAAAAGACAGCAACCCTGCTTTATCAAAACATAGGCCTGAATTATAACCCCGAATTTCTTATTTTGTTTGGTTATTGTTTTAAAATTAAACATGTGGTCCTTAATGCTCCCCAGCCAAAGAAACCAGGGATGCGCCTTCTTATTTGTTAATTTTGCAAGTTGAATTCAGTTATGGCTTCCCGGATGGAAAATGAGCTGGCCACTAGTACGACCTATAACAAGGTCATTCAGTCATTCTGCTGTTTCCAGTGGGGAGGGGGAAACCACTGAATGCTTGGGCGAGCCAGGTGAAGCATAGCTCGACAATCACTTATTTCAAAACCCCTGATTGAGCCTGTGACTCACAGGGCTGGGATTTTAAATGCTCCCCTCCAAGGCATCTCAGAGGTGGGCTTGAAAAGCCTTGGAAGGAATCCCCTAGACCTCAGGCCTAAGATCCTGTTCTGCCGTCTGCCAGCTGTGCTAAAGTCATTGTGACTCACCTCCACAGCTGCACAGAGGGGGTTGATGGAATTCACCTTGCCTAGCTAAGGAGAGTGTTCCCTATTCTTTAAGAAACAATTATCAAGATAGGATCTTGAGTTGGTTGACAGCCACAGAGGTGGGCGGTCACTGAAGTTACATCCTGAAACACCAGGGTGGCTGTGGTGAAGTCAGGAGCCTTTTGTGCCATAAAACTTGGGTTTTCTTCCACAGTAGTGAAATTGAAAGTACCCAGGAAGCTCACCAGGTTAGAAACACAGAGGGTCATTATTATTTAGTATCTCTGCAATAAATAAAACTAAAGCAGCCAGTCATTTGATAGATGTGCCCAAAACTGAAGAGACAACTTTTTTTTGGGGGGGGCAGGCAGACTCCTGTAATATCAAAATTTAGGAACTAGGGGTTAGGAGTTGAAGGACAGCCTTGGTTATTAGCAAGTTCAAAAGTTCAAGGGTATCCTGGGGTATGTGAGACCATGTATCAAAATGGCAACACCAAATGGGCTAGTGAGGTAGCTCAGTGAGTAACAACCCTTGCTTGCTGCAAAAACCTGATATCTGTGCCCTCCTCTGTTGTGCTCTGCATTATTCTTTTAAAACAGGGTTCTTTTGCTAAACCCGGAGCTCAAGGTTCTTTGGCTAGGCTGGTGGCCTGCAAACTCCCGAAAGCCTCCTGTCTTACTCCCACCCTTTAGCATCTGCACTAGGGTTCCAGGTGCACATGGTCACACCTGATGTTTTATGTGGATGCTGACTATCTGAACTAATCTCCTTATCCTTGTGCAGCAAGTGGTCTGCCCACTGAGCCATCTGCCCAGCCCAGCTTTAGTGTTTTTTTTTTTTTCCTTTCCTTTTCTTTCTTTTGGAAAGATTACAGATAGTGTATTATTTTTGAGTTAGCATTAAAAAGCAACGTGTTTCATAGTGGGATTTCATACATACATTTGTTGCCCTGACTGGCCTGGAACTAGCTCTGTAGACCAGACTGACCTCAATTTACAGGGATCTGACTGCTTCTGCCTCCTGAGTGCTGGGATTAAAAGCCCCTGTGCCACCGTGCTTGACTAATTCTTCGTGTGTTTTAAATTTAGCTCCCTGTCTGAGAGATAGCTGGCAACGATTTGCAACCGTTTTGTACGTTGTCTGTTCACTCTGGTAATAGTTTCCTTTGCTGTGCAGAAGCCCCTTTGTTGTATCCAATCCCATTTGTCAACCCTCAAAGTTATTTCCTGTGCTATTGGGGCTCTTCTGACAGAGTTCTTGCCTAGTGGTGTATCTTGAAGTCTTTTCTGCATGTTTCCCTCTAGTAGTTTCAGTGTTTATATTAAGATCTTTGTATAATAACTTTAAAAAGACAATACAAAAGGCTTTGGAAAGGTCAATGAAGCTAGAACTTGTGGGGAGGAGACCGGAGAAGGCAAACTGCCTCAAGATTGAATTCTAGAGATCTGAAGGAAGTGTTACATCTGCAGCCCTGTGCTCATCTCTGTGTGAGTCAGGAAGCAAGAGAAGCAGTCTCTGAAGGGATCAGGTGGTTATGTTCTTAGGGATCATACAGGGATTACACAGGAAAGAGTTCATCTTCCTCGTAGCCAAAATGGGCAAGCATTGTAATATCCAAGCATTTGGTAGAGTGTGCAGAAGAGGGTTCCCTCAATAGTGACCGAAGGCTGTTCTTATCTGAGCTAGCCTCACAAAGCCAAAAAACAAGCCTTGAAGGAATCAACCTGTTTCCGTATAACTTTATCCAAGAGAAGATTTTGTTACAAAATGCTAAAGAAGACTTAAAAAAAAAAACCAGAAAGACCCAGCCCGCAACAATGGCCCTAGTGTCTGGCATCCAGTCACTGACTACTGTGATTGTGTGAAACTATCTCCAGTGTTAGGAAACATGATGAAATGTTTAGGCCTCAAGGATTGTGGTCTGTGAGATTTGCAAAAGGGGTTGGGTAGATGAGGAATGGGGATCAATGTTAATGCAGGTTTCTTTGTGCTGTTTTTACTTTTACAACTGTTAGATTGAAATTTTTAATATTCCAAGTCAGTATAAAAATGTTTAATGCTTCTTGATTTCAGAAACAGAATAATTTGTTCTGTTTAGATCCAGTTCTGATGGTGCTCAATCTAGCTATAGGAAAACTATTTAACTTTTAATTGCCAACTGTTACACAGACTAGAAAATAGCAGGAGAGAGCACTTGTGAAGGCAGGTAATTGCAGAAAAGAGGAGAAATTTAACAAATAGCTCTTTGTAATAATGATGGGCATTTGGAAATCCTTTAATTGTCAGACATTTCCTAGATTTCATTTAAATGAGAAATTCTCAAATATGTTTTTAATTTTTAAATTTTATTTGTAAAATTACATGTATGAGTATGTGTCTCTGTGTGAGTTTGGGCATGTGGGTTGTAACTCCGGCTCCAGAGGATATGATACCCTCTTCTAGTCTCTGCAGGCACCTGCACTAAGGCTTTCTATAGCAAGTGCTCTTAACCACCAAGCCATCTCTTCACTCCCTATTTTATTTTTAATTTTATTTTTACATAGGATAGTCTCACTATGTAGTTCAGGGTAACTGCGAATTCACAATCTTCCTGCCTCTGCATTTAGAGTGCTGAAATTGTAGGCTTACCCTAGTAAACCTGGTTGGTGGTCTTATTGATTGAACTAATAGATTCTAAAGCCTTTCTAAGTGTTAGGAAAAAATCTGACTATGCAAGGCAGAAGTAGAAGGTCCTAGTACGAGGTAACCAGCAATAGGGGGACTTGTTCCTAATTTCAGTAAGGAAGAACAGGTCCAAGTGAATCCAAGAATCCCTAAGTTCTCCAAACTTCAGTATGCCCATATGTTCTAAGTTGGGGACACATGGGCCTGTTATCACTCTGTGACCAGTCACAGTTTATTTTCTATATCAAGTGAGCCTAATTTATGTTAAGATGACAAATATACAATTTTTTTTTTGGCCAGCTTGAGGTTTGTGGTACATGTAAGAAGACCTCGACATTTGATACTGAAAGAGTGGTAAAAGAAGTATTATGATTCATCAAACAAGGAATAAATTCATCAAAGCAAGTATGATTTTGGTACTGAATTTACTGCTAACCAAGGCCAATCCTGCTTAGCTTCAAGTACAGATGAAATTAGATGCATTCAGAGTGGTATATCCATAGAAATCTCTCTCTCTCTCTTAAAAATTTTTATTGGAGAGACTTTTATTTTTCTATTAATCATTCCATTCAATTACATCTCAAATGGTATCTCCCTTCC